CCAGCGTAAAGAAGTTGAACTAGCCTTGTATCAAGCCATGTAATGTGTACTCATTAAAGGATCATTCTGTTCTGCAGTTGAATTAGCCCCTTTCCATTGCTTCAAAGTATGTAATTATCAAGTGGATTAAAAGCGATGTAAATAGCTACAGGCGTTTACATTCTTATGAATATCCACGTTAAAACAGTATTGTATACTGTAGGTTTATTGTTTCATCCAAAAAGTATGCCAGGTAGACTGTTAATTCAGGCTGACAGAAAAACACTTCATTCAGCACCAATAGAGCTTGTAACAGACAAATGTCTTTCTGCCTTCCTTGTTAAATTGTGAAATAGTTCTGCGTTTATCCGAGGTACTTTCGAATAAATTGCACTCTAGTTTAATTTGTATTCTTTTGTATCATTCCTTTGTATTTACTTGTTTTCTAATATTTCTGATTTACAAAAAGCATCACACCCTGATAGAATGTAACAGAAGGGTTTCTATATCCAATGATCACAAATACTGATGGATGAAAAAGTTGAATAAAACATGGTTTAGTTTTCAATTTTTCTTAAATTTAGTGGAAAGATTTTACAATTTGTTGTGACCAGACATACAGCTCTGGCCTGTGTCTGGCATGTATTAAATTTGTGATTGTATTATTGGATGGTATATTACATATGAGGATGATTTATTATAGGCTTTCTAATCAATTTAGCAGATTCTCCATTCCATATCATTTTTATGTGTTCTAGATGTCAGATGCTGTTTATTTCCTTTCAGTCATGGCCCAAGATAAACTGCAGGTTGTACAAAATAATAAACAGTCATCCATGTATTTCTGTATGAGGTCACTTCGGTCATTACTGGAATAGGAGAACTCAAAGGAAAGCCATGTTGTTGCTGTAAGTGGTGTTGGAGGAGTAATAAGTGGCACTCTTCCTTCTTGACCAGTATTTCCAAACCAATACCCCAGTATGGTAATGTGATACATGAGGTGCTGAGATGTTGAACCCAGCTATCCTGGTTTATTTCTATATTTCCACTTTGGACACCAGAATTTGTTCTGCCTGTCAGTTCTACTTGATTCAACTGTTGAATGAATTTCTCACTTCTGTACCTGATCTACTGTACCGTACAGCTGCTGGCACATAATGGCCGCCTCAGGTCACTCTGGTGGTAAAAGTAAGGTGCTGCATTTAAGTGGTTGTTGAAGTGGGTACATTCCAAGCTCTTTGGGTTCCTTTGAGATGAAAAGTGCTATATAAATGCAACTTTGTTATTTTTTATATATATTGTTAATCTATTTTTATCTTTCTTAAGGTATTCATTAGATTGCAGTTATTCCTTTGATGGATGTACAGTTTCCATTAAATTGTTTTTTCTAATGTGGCAGCTTAATTGATTGAATGATTACTGTTGAAATTAAGCCTGTTTCCACCTCTTTTTCAGATAAAAAGTAATGTGTACTGTGTGTACCTTGCCTCTATTTACAGAATTATATTTTTTAAATTGATACCCCACAACCTAGGAAACAATACATTTATAGTCCCCCTTTCTGTTAAGGGAAGGGTGATATTTAGGTTATCATTTGACTCCTGTCTCAGTCAGACATTTAGCTAGCATATGTGTGCATATCACCTCAGTATTGGAATATGAGAATCATATGAAGTAAACTGCTCTGTGGTAAAAGATTTGATAAGTTGAATTTGAATAATTGGGTTGAATAGCTGAAAATGTCCAAATCATTGCCAAAATAAAAATAATGGGGATGAGGCATTTCAGGATCTCATTTCTCAGTCTATAATTTTTTTTAATGTTATATTGCTCAATGAATAAAATATAATGTAAAAATTATAAGGAAACCAGCAAGTCTATTGAAGCTGTTTGTGCAGTATTTGAGATAAGCAAAGACCAAGTGAATTCATGAATGAATAGAAGAAGAACAAGAATAATGCAGAACAAAACAACCCATTTAGATCACCTTTCCCCACTGTTTTGTGTTATACAGTGATAAAGGTTCACTAAAGGGTGAAATATAAAGATAAATACTTTGATGTAAATGTTTTTTGTCCATTAGTTAGAAAAAAGATTTGTCATTTGTGTTTGGCATTCCTATTAGTTGGCCTTATTTATGCAGAAGCATTCTGCATTACAGTATTTTTCAGTGCTTAAAATTGATTACATTTGAGTTTTGTTCTATATCCATTTTCGGCTTCTATTTTTCATTTTTCTTTATTACAGGATCCATTCAAAGACTGATATTAGCTTATGATGGTAATAAATATTTAAAAAATCACACCTTTCCTAATGTGGCAGTTCATCTCACAGCACTATCTGAGAAAGCAGTCATTGACTACTAACAAGAGATCAGCACTGAAGCATTTTCTGTTTGTCTGCCATTTGCTCTTCCAGGTCTTTTATTATATTTCTCTGCGTTTGGCCTATTATTTTTTTTCTGTGTTTTCAGTCCACATTAGTTGAAATGTACAGCTTTTGGTGCAGTCTGTGTCAGAGGCCTGTAGGGCTCATCTGTTTAATGTCAGCTGGAAAACAGGGCAGTGTGTACAAAAAGGGAGTGATTGGATTGAAAGATCACTTCCAGGGGCGATTTCTGCTACATGTTCATACTATGGCAGGAGAACAGATGGGTCTTTTAGTAGCGCAGTTTACACTAATGAATTTTTATAAAGTTACATTTTTGCCAGACATCCACTGGATGAATTCCAAGCTTCTGAGAATACTGGAGCTATCATCAAGATCTATTGTTTTTTAGGCTTCTTTATGAGTCAAGGCCAGAAAATAGAAAGATAATACTGTTGGATGGTAAACTATAAATCATAACATGGTTGCATACATTTTATTTTGTGATGTGCTTCTTAGCCTCTTCACTTTAATGATACAGGATAGTGATGTTTGCTATGAGATTAAGTAGACGTTGAGTGCAGAAATAGACCAATAACAGTGACCTACAGTAACCTTGTGTTATGCACCTACACTAAATGAATTATTTTACCTTTTTCAGGCTCCACTTTGCATGAGATTCTTTTTGACTTATGTATAAATGAATAACATCCCTATGTATGCCTTTCATTTTTATGTGCTTGTAGATGCAGGTTACTGAGCTCTTGAAAAGATCCATGTTCGGGTCTTGAAAATTTTCAGTTTTGTTTCAGTGTTTAGTTTAATTATTTACAGTTTTGCGATATTGTCTATGCGAAATATATTTAAAGTTATATTTTAACCTGCAGAAACTGATGAGCTTGTAAGTCTTTCAGTTGACATATTGCTTCTGTGCTGAATTATGAAGACGTGAAATATTTGTGGTGCTTTAGCTTTTTATGTATGAAATCTTTCTGCATTCATATCACCCTCAATATTATACATTTTCAGTATTCCAGAAAAATGCAGTCTTTGATTTTACTTTTCATTGTCTTTTTTTTGTCATCTGTACTCTGGTAGAAGCTTTCTGTTAAACTGCAATATGTATACATATAAATTATTATTGAGCAATAATCTTTAATTGAAAAACATAGGCTGTACATTTTAATATGCATGTTTCTGGGTATATCTTTCACTTGCACAATGTGGAGCAGTTGAAGGGCTTAATATGTAAAGATATCTCTCACTCTTAAGGTCCTTGCTTCCTGTTAAAATGTTCCCTCATGTGCAAAAATTATTACAGTGTCTGTTGAATTTGAAGTGACATCTTAATTTGGACTGGTATAAAAATCAGTCAGGTCAGATGAAAATCTCATATTAATATAGAACTTAAACTAAACATCATGAAAAGGTTGCCTACCTTAAAAAGTAATAATTTGTGGTATCAAGAACTGTAATGAATTTGTGCCTAAATATATTTATGCAAAAATTGAATCCGAAGCAACATTATGGTAATTTTAATTTTTAAAATGAAAGGGAAGATTCTATTTTGTTAACAAAAATTAGTGTTTTGTTATTGGATTAGATGTTTGGGGTTGGTATTTCTATTTCTATTTCATGTGAATAACGTTTTATTGTTCCAATTGTTTTATCACAGACTCAGTGGCTAATGCTGTTTATATACCTGCCAATGCTGATATGTTCTTTAAAGAGTTGTCAGTGTTTTGTCATGGGAAGCAGGCTCTTGAGTATAGATTTTAAATGGAAAAATTTAGAGTATAATACATGCAGCATTGTTTACTTAAGTAGATGCCATTTTTTTACTAAATGCCTGATCCAATGACTTACAATATAAAGGATGTCCACTACTTGCTAATACAAGAACAAATAGCATGGCTCTAATAATTAAATTAGATTAATCTTTAGTAAATTAATAATTGCAATTCCAAGTTTTGGTATCCTAAAGTTTCAGGACAGTCTCTTGTTTTAACTTTACATTGTCATTGTCCACTCTTCAGTTACCTGCATAGTTATAGTATGCATCCTGAAACTCCCAACAACAAATATCTGAAAATAGAACACTTTAATGTGTAGATACCTTAATAACCATTTTCAAGCTTGTTGTATTGCATATTCTCTTCAAAAGGTGGACAGAGTGCTTACATGATGCATCTTAATATCAAATGACATCAAGGATTCTCAAACTATACTTTAAATGTTTTTTCTTATTTAAAGCTTTATTAATTCCCTAAAATGAACAGTCTATATTTCTGTGTGTAAGATCTCAAACATAAATGTTTTATTGGTACCACCAGATAAAATCTATTTAATACATGTACGTGCTAAGCAAGCCTTTTAAAGTAGTGAAACAGTGTAATGAATAAACAGTTTTAAGTGCTAAGTTGTCAAAATTTCTTTGTCATTGGCTCTGTTCTAAAGACATCTGAAATGAATGCCTGTTTTAACTAAGATCACTATTTTTTATGCACACACCTTAATGCAGGTTGTAATTGTTCACTGTTTGGTTTGTGATTATTTTGTAAATATTACAAAATATAGTGTTCTTTAATGGTGTACTTTTTGGGGTTTTGTACAGTTATCCTCTATAACGCTTTTGTACCCTTTTGCTATTACAGGAAACCGCGGCCAGTTTCCCAGCTGGTTGCACAACAAGTAACCCAGCAGTTTGCTTCCCCAACACAACCAAAGAAAGAGAAAAAAGACAAAGCAGAAAAAGAAAAAAATGAAAAGGAAACAACACTCAAAAAAAACGGTCACAAGAAAATGAGGTAAGGTTGAAGTACAGGAGTTGTGATGGACAGATATGATCAGATGTGAAATAAATGTTTATTCTGGGACCCTATTTAAGGAGGAATAATTTTGTTCTGGTTCCCCCTACCTTGTGCAAGTGATCAAAACCCACATAACGTGAGTGAGGTCAGCAGTCATGGACTCTGGGATTGCTTTAATTTGACAAAACATAGATTACAAATGTTAGAGGGTTTCATAGTCCAATAACTGGCCAGGAAATTCCATGGTACCATCTTCAATGTACAGAGTTACAATAGAAATTGAAAACTACCCATCTTGGGATAGATAGCTGCTGACATCAATAAGCAAGTGTCCATCCTTTATTATCTTAATGTGTCAGGCACAGAGTGCTGCTCCTATAAAGGATGGCATTTAAGTTCGAATCTCACCTTCTGCAATGAAAGGCACTCTGCAATATATTTTTGTGGTTTAAAGTTAATTACATTGAAATTCCTGAACCGGAAGTTGTTTTCGCTTGTCAGTGAGGACAATCCTTTATGCCCGTGAATGTATCGAGTTGCTTTCCTTTGGCCTGATTCCAGCACACCAATATATTTTTTTGTAAGTGATAATAACATTATTATTATTATCATTATACTTAATAAATTGTAAAAACCCACTTTTTAAAAGGTTTTATGCCTTTTAAAAACTAAATCAAAGAATTTGTTTTGTATATATGTTTAGAAAAAAAACTAAGGCCCTCTTGAAAACAGCTACTGTCTATTTTTGAGAATAAAGTTCTTCATGCCAGTATTAATAATCATTAAACAAATTGTAGTATTTGTGTTTCAAAATATCAGTATCTTAATATATCACACTGGATGTTTTTCAGCTTATTTTATTATATAGTCCATAAATACATAAGATAACTACAAAACTTTTAGATAGGGTCTTGGGTAGGAAGATTTGATTTTTTGTTGTACTTGAATAAATAATAGGCAATATCCAAACGTAAAGAAATGTAGGAAAAGAACCCTTTACATTGTTGTTGACCACTCAAGGAAGATAAAACTATACTTAATAGCTGCGTAAAGAAGTAGTCACTGGCCCTGTCTTTGGTGTATTTTGGGAAGGAGTAGTGAAATCCCTGGGAAGGTTATAGACTGGTAAGAAGGAAAAGTAGGTTAGCCATCAGAAGGAAGATATAAGGACCTCTGGGGAATAAATATTCTCCAGTACAGCAGAAGAAGGAATACTTGTGGCAGAAATATATATTAGTATGGAACAATGAGGCAGAAGTTTCATTACTTGCCAAACAAAACAAACCTTGCATATGACAGCCCCAAGGAAATGTGCATGACTGATTGTTTTCAGATCTTAGTTGAGGTCTTAGAATCCACACAACCTATGCAGTTTGGATACCTTTGGCATGGTCTTTGACAGTTTGGTAAGCTCATCAAACCTCTTTATCATTTCAGATGTGTATCTCATGTATATGTATATCTCATATAATCTCCATACATTGAACATTGACCTATTCTGTCTCAAGCACTTCCTGAGAACCTGTTCCAACAGTTTTGTTTTGTAGATGTTTACTACTATAATGTACTGTTTATTGGTGCTTTTAAGAGCACTGTCAACTATCAAAATACTTCTGCGTGTTCTAGCAGATGAGTTTTTAATTATAAGCAATTTCAGGACCCACTTATTTAAAAAACATAAACCTGCTGAGGTGTAATGCTCCATCTTGGTAGTTCTGCTCTTTAAATTCTGTCTTACCGAGTGTCCCCAGGACAAGGCTACATACACTGAATAATAGGGCTTTCCACAGAAATTTCCATATACTGTGGAATGCTCTGCCCAACACTTTGAGCCTCCCTGTCTGAATGTTCAAAGCCATTTAAAAAATATAATATCAATAATAAAATACATAAATCATGTTTTTCTGTCTCAGCATGTTATTTCTATCAATGTACTGTGGATTTGTTACATCAACTCTGCTTAATTTTATTGTTGTTGTAAAGATTCGTTTGCACTCATACTTGTATGAGGCAGCAGCCAGATCACTCTGCAACTCCCAGCTGGCAATCCACTGTAGCTAAGCAGGTGTGAGCCTGGTCAGTACCTGGATGAGAGACCTCCTGGGAAAAACTTAGGTTGCTGCTGGAAGAGGTGTTAGTGTGGGGCAGCAGGGGGTGCTCACCCCGTGGTCCATGTGGGTCCTAATGCCACAGTATGGTGACAGGGACACTATACTGTAAACAGGCGCCATCTTTCAGATGAGACGTAAAACCGAGGTCCTGACTCTCTGTGGATTAAAAATCCCAGGGCGTTTCTTGAAAAGAGTAGGGGTGTAACCCTGGCGTGCTGGCCAGATTTCCCATTGGCCCTTACCAATCCTAACCTCCTAATAATCCCCAACTATGAATTGGCTTCATTACTCTGCTCTCCTCCCCACTGATAGCTGGTGTGTGGTGAGCATTCTGGCGCACTATGGCTGCCGTCGCATCATCCAGGTGGATGCTGCACATTGGTGGTGGTGTAGGGGAGTTCTCATTACCTGTAAAGCGCTTTGAGTGGAGTGTTCAGAAAAGCTCAGTATAAGTGTAAGCAATTATTAATTATTATTATTATTATATTTGATTTTTCAAGGCAAAAGTGTAAAAAAGTACACTGAGCATCAAAAAGCTAATCACTTTCCTTATACATGTATATATACTTAAAGCTTAGAATTTGAGGTGGTGAAGTTCACTTTTTTTCAAGGTAAAATCCTAACTTTACTATAGTATTTATTATTGTAGCGCCCTCGCCTGGTGTCTTGGTGGAAGAACACCTGGATAATTAGTATGCGCCTCGGTGCAGACTGGGAACCACTGTCAGGAGATGGTCTTAGGGCCCGCAGGCTAATAACCCCTAGCTAACCTTGGCTATGTAGTGTTTTTTTAGGAAATTGTACTTGGTTGGTTGATGTTTACCCCCGTTTTCTTCTCAAGACCTGTATCCACCCTAACGTGTGTATGTGTTCCCTTTGCTGCGTGTGTTTAAGTTTTGTTCGAGGGGTTTATGGTCTCAGGAAACAGGTAACAGGCTGATGGAGGCCTGTAATAAAGAGTGCGTGTGCTATCTAAATGTCTTGTTGTTGCCCACATGAACCGTTCCATAAAAATGCTACACTATGAATTTGACGTGTTTAAACTGTGTAGACATTTTAATTAGGATAACTAATAAATTTGGTAAAGCTTTGGTTAGGCACGTTTGGTACGTTTTGAATGGTCTACCTCTAATCTCATTTTTCCCATAAGCCCTGTTATTTTTATTGTGCGGTTTTAAATAACGAGAGGTTTTACAGGAAGGCACCTATCGCATTAAAGCAGAGATGCCTGTATTTAAAATAATTTTATTCATTATGAAGTTATTGTTTTTCTTTGCCAATTGAATCAAAATTTCTGATTAAATGTTTTTGTTAAAGTTTTTTTTTTCAAGCTAGCCTGAAGGAATCAGAAGCACAATGCATCTTCCACAATGTCAGTCAATGCTATAAAGTGTATTTGTGACTGTCAAGTTTGGCTTTTGGAAAGATAGAACCTCCCCTTGTACACTGCCTTCTGTAGGTCTATTACAACCACAGGAAATGCTGTTGCTCATCAAACACGGGAACCCATAACTAACTATATTCTACCCTGTGATGTTCAGTCATTTTATCGCAGCCATTGGGACCTGGTGACTGCTAGGTTAACGCTTGTTTCATACTTTTGCTTTAATTTTCAAAGGTTTGCCACTGGAGCTATCAGTGATAACTAAATATTTAATTTTCAGCCTCTGCATTTTTTCTTTCTCCATGACAGATGTCGGAATACTAATTTTTGACTGTTGTTTTTCTGCTTTGCAACTGCAGGCCAAGATTAAAAAACGTGGACAGAAGCAGTGCACAGCACTTGGAAGTCACAGTAGGAGATCTGACTGTTATTATTACAGACTTTAAGGAGAAAACAAAGTCCACACCAACTTCCAGCGCTACATCTGCTGACCAGCACAGTCAAAGTGGGTCCAGTTCTGATAACACTGAAAGAGGAATCTCCAGGTCGTCCTCACCTCGAGGAGAAGGATCATCAGTAAACGGAGAATCCCACTAAACCTCATTCTCACACCCTTCCCCACCACCACCCCCCCACAAACCCCTCTTAAGTTTCTTTAGTGGTCTGGAACAGATGTAAAACTTACACCAAGATGTACAAGTTCAAATTTTAATCGAGATACACCCCAGTTTCATGACATGCAGGCATGATGGTTTGCATTTTGGAAGTCTTCCAGAATGTCCTTAGCACTGGTCAATTTTTGGTCCTTGGACAAAGATGGAGCATTGAGTGCACTTTTAAAATAAATACTGTAAAGATGTCTTTCAGCCTTGGCTAAGTATACAGCAAAAAAGAATTTGTCCTATATTCCTGAAAGGTACAAAACTTTACAGTGCCATGTTAATGTGGTAGTATTTTACTTCAAATCAGTGTTACATTGTCAATATACACTTAAATTTGTGAATTTCTGTCCCTTTCCACAGTGGATTCTATCATGGCATGAAATGGATAAAAGTGTTAAGGAAATGTTCCAGATTGTTGATGATGCATTACGGGAGAAAATGGGAAGCAGCTATATTTCTAAGTGTACAGTAACATTGATAAAACAGATTAGCTGTAATAGCAACAGAGCTTTCTTCTCAGTGGCTTAATGCACCTGCTGGTACTTGGTGTGGTTTAATGGGAAAATGTTCTTTTAAAAAAAACATTTGTATACAGTTTTGCCAACGTTTTACAGCACGATATTCTAATAGATCATATCACTGTTATGTTGCGGTTTTACCAAACTGTGCTGTTATATGTATATGAACATCTCAGTTAATTACATGGTTTTACTGTCAGAACAAAAAAATTTATAAGTAAAAGAATGAAATGATGAATTCATTGTTTAGAGATTGATCTATCTCGATCTGCTTCTCATTCATTTTATATTATAGATGCTAGCTTGTCATTATTTAGAGTGGTTTATATTATAGAAATGATCACAAAATAAAATTAAAATTATAGACTCCTTCCTTAGTAAAATGCATCCTAAATATGAAGTTATTACAGTGTCCATATTTTTTATTTCTTTTTGGATCAACATTGGACTAATGCACTACACTGTACATTTGAGAGTTGGTTGATAAACATACTTCTTAGGTGTTTAGAAATTTAGCATTAAGGGGTGATGATTTAAAAGTGCTTTCTACAAAACATGTTCTGTCATTTACTCTTGTGAAACTGCATGAATTTCAAAACTAAAAGAAATGCCATTCACGAGCTTCAAATAGCAAAGAATTTATTGTGATTCACGTTGATCAGTGATTAATATGGGAATTTGGGTGTTTTGAAATTTAAATAATTCCTTGTAGTCTTAAATGTACGGTCTGTACTGAATGTAATTAAGGTTTTGTTTTTCCCAAAGGAAAAAATGACCTTAATGTACCAATTAACTACTTAATTGCTTTTGAGTAAAATCTTCAAGAGGTGCATATTTTCCTAAATTAAATTTAACTTTAAAGTTGGTGTCATTAGGGAAATTACTTAGATGTCATAGTGTCATGATCATAGGATCTTTTAATTTTCTAGAACAAAGTTTTTAACCTGTTGTAATAACCTTAGTTTTTTTATATAGAATTAATACATTTTGTTGTGGCTGTTCTTTTGTAGACCAGCTATTATTCATGGTTTGGGGATGATTCTTTTGAAATTGCAGCAGTAGTATAACTAATGCATCAATCACAGTATGTGCTCCTTATCACAGTCAAGAAGGTTTTGAAGCATTTTAAAGTATTTTTAGATAACCAAGTCTTCCTCAAAAGAACATTTAAGAAAGTTTGATGAAAACAGGCACTCCAACCTATTAAAACTCACCATTACTCTATTCACTGATTGTTAATCACCCCAGCATACTATTGTTCTCATCTTGAATATGATCACAGGCTTTTTAAGTCTTGTAAGGGTTTAACACCTTTTCCCCAAGGATACCATATGGTAGTCAACTGACTAAGGATTTCAGCCTATGAAGTCAAAACATATGAAGATTATCTTTTAAAAAAAACAAAAGACCAATTAAAACTGGTTTGCAACCAATACACATTAGTAGTCATAATTATGAAGACACCTGGACATTTCACTGAAATAAAAGTAATCTCAATTAACTGTTGAATAACATGGCTTTTTTTTTTGCTTTTCAACGTACCGTGCAACAAAGGATTCTGCATTTTAATCCATCTTATTCTCACCAAAGTATCTAGTTTTGATAGCAGGCTTAGTTACACTTTACATATTGTCACCTGTCTTGTTGAGTTTGTCATGTATTAATTGTGACTTTCAGGCATAATAAGGATTGGCTTTTTCTGATGCCGGGGTCATTCCATAATATTTTAAATTTCAAATTGTTCTTCCTTACTTTCAGGAATTAAGATTAAGTCTTTTTATGTTTAAAGTTATCACCACTTAGGAAAGAGAACCCTTTAGTCTTCCTCAGGTTCAATCAGGTCCTTTATAAATACTGTATTTCCTGTTTGTTCATTGTCAGATTTCCTGTATACGTTTATGGTACAAACTCCAATATGTTAGTTAGGAGCTACACAACATACTGTCAATCTCCTACTTGTTCTACTTGAATTTCCAACTGAAGGACCAGAATTATTTGTATTTTTTAATCTCTTGATGACACTTTTATTTTTGCTCTTTTAATCACTATTCAGGATTTATTCTCCATTGTTGATTTTTTTTTGTCCTCATTTGAACAAAGGTCTTTGATCTCCAGGTTTGAGCTCCCATTTGAGCTGCAAGTAGACAAACTACCAAGTCTTATCTTTTCCATGCTTTCCTGTTTGCCATCCTTTGTTTGCATGGTTACTACTTTTTCAAGTGGATCTACTCTGTTATAAAAAATATTTCTTGGAATGGACTTCAAAAATTACATTTTCTTGTGGACACTAATTATGGATACATGCACACATAATTGCTTTCCTTTGCTCACACTCCCCCACAATTTTCAAGGCTCTTTATTGAGCAGTTAGCTGCCGGTGTAATGTTTACATGGTTCCGTCGTTTCTTTACTTATCTAAATGGTAAGAATGAGCAGTATGATGGAGTGTACATTACACAGCGGTCAGAATTTTGTGTGATTTTATGGAACTGCAAAAGATAAAGGCCCCTGTTTTCTGCAGTTGGTAGACTTTAGGCAAACTACGCTCTCCTTACTAATATCCCCACAGTGTAAAGTCCACATTCTTTACATATTCCCTGAGCATTGGGGTCTACTCTTGAGTCTCACAAAGAAGAGGTCGCCCTCGAGCAATTCCACTGCTTGTTAGAATGCAGTTTGAGCACTATTATTCAGGTGTCACAGGTTCCAGCAGGCATCATGTCACTGAGTGTACTGAGTGTCACTACAATTTTGCAAGGGCTGGCACATAGGTCTTGGAGTGCAGCTAAAGATGGGGTTGGGATTATTCAGTCAGTGTTCTCTGGGTTCCCAGTGACCCTGCAACATTTGCTGACTTCAAATGCTGTTGACACATCTCTGCTTCAGTCAGCTTTGATCCTCCTGTATGGGGCTAAATTGCCTGTGATGTGTCAACTAATGTGGATGAGTCCAAAGAGTCAGTTCACACTTGTTCTCCCCATGTGTGGTTGCATGTAACTGTGAGCTAAGATTCGCAAACACAAAATTGCTTATCTCAAATTGGGTGGGTATGTAGCAGAAAATATTGTTAAAAAAGATTTATGCAAATGTCTAAAAATGGCTGTGTGATAAGAACACTAGTAGGGTGATGCAGAAAAACAGAAAGAAACATAAGATTCTAAAACAGTATCTTTAAAAACTGCTGGAGAACCACAAAGAAGAGGAATGCTATGACAGTCATACAGAAAATTAATGTTTTGAGAAGCACAGTCCAAAGACCTCAAGACATCTTTTTGAATGTGTGGTGGGGGGGTTAATTTTAATCACTTTATATCCAGATAAAGGAATTGAAAACATCTACATTTACAATGACAACCTAAAGGGTCTTAATTTATATGGGATATTTATTAGAGCAATCTAAATAAATAACCTTGCTCAAGGGTACAACGCCAGCATCCCATCTGGGATTTGCATCTATGAACTCATCCAGAACCCAGCACCTGAGCTGCAAATCTCCTAGAAAAAGCGACTCTTTCTACTAAAAGATTACAACAAAGTGAAAAAACGTTCTTAAGAAGGGAGTAAAAGCCAGGTCATTGGTTACATTTGCCTTGTGTGTTTTGCCAAATAGCCATGGGCCAGCCGAAGAGGGATTGAATAGTGTGAGTAATTAGTGGCAGTTATGGATGAAAAAATCTTTATCAGTTCTGCAAAAGAGATCAGCACAAGTGCTGCAGTAATTAAGTCACACAACAACTGTCAGAAGAACCTGATTGAGAGGAAGTTTATTCCAACAGGCAGTGGCCAATATGCAATACATGAGATATGATATTTAATTAGCCCAGTCTTCAATGAACAGACTTCAAAAATGAGACCTTAACTAGAATTTTTTGGACTCTTACTAAAAAATGTTAGAAATGGTGAATGAAATTACATACCACAGATTTTGAGGAAGTAAAAAGATGTTCAGCTTTTCTTATTTGTTATTGTAGTTTCATGTCAGTTAATAGCAAAGGTAATAGCTAATTTCTGTACTAAACATTTTTTGTGGAAGGAAAGAAAAAAGGGAACTGAATAATTTTTCACACTCTTAGACCATAATTTTGACAGCTGGGACGATGGATATGGAATGAAGTTCCTCACCAACTCTTATGAGAACCAACCTAGGAATTCCACAAGCCTTCAACAAGTGAGTAGTGACCAATATAAGGATTTGTTATCTAATAAGCAGTTAAAAGAAACATTTCATAATTTTGTTTTGTTTTGCTTAATTCACTTTAAATCTACTTTAATTTAATAACTTATGTACTGGGATAATATTGATGTCTTTGTGAACAAGCATCCTCTTGAAAAGATGGCTTTTATTAAGGTTTAGTTATCTATTCAGTAACTTATATTATGAATTAAATGTAAAGTTTTTTGTTAATTTGGTCTATAGACACATTCCTGTCATTGGACCCATCACTGATGTGTTTATTGCAGGTTATTACTCTGCCAAACAAAACTTTCCTTGCATTTTATGTTGTCTAATCAGCTTACAAAATTATTTTCTGCATGTCTAATATCTGCTAGATTTGACTAGGCTTAATTATAAATTATATTCTTTATATTTTATAATATAACTATAAATTAGTAAAAAGCATTTATATAATGATAATTATCAATGTTATAATTATATATCTATGAAAAAGAGAATATAAAAAAATCTGGAGACTGCAAATAAGTGTATACATTTTTGGGAATTAAAATATTAAAACTGTCTACACATCCTACCCTACATCTTCCAAGTGAAAAAAATATTCTAGAAATTTGTAGAATATTAAAATCTGAAATCACTTGGTTGGATAAATATCTATTGCCCTTGTAACCTTGTAATTAGCTTAGATATAACCAGTCACCTTCAAACTTATACAGCATATTAACTGGCCTCAATCTATATTAAATTATAGAGAGTCACATCATTGCAGTATAAATTCAGCAGCATCTGTAGGTTCCTCTCCTGGGTGTTGCATTTCAAAGCAAAGACTCACCAAGGAGCTTTCAAAACAACTTCTGGACAAAACTGTGGAAAGGCACAGATCAAGGAATGGGTAACAAAATTTCAAAGAACTTGAATATTCTTAGGAGCAGACAATTATTAAGAAGCAGAAGTTGTAAAACGCCATCAAGACAATAGATCAGTCCATCTCTCCAAACCTGATGACAGAGTAATAAGGAAACTGATCATAGAGACAACCAAGAGACCAATGGCAGCTTTGAAAGAGCTGCAGGCTTTCATGGCCAAGATTGGTCAAAGTGTGCGTGAGAAAACAACATCCCAAGTCCCCACAAATCTGGCGTCTATGGTAGGTGGGGGGGGCAAAAGCAAAGCATTACTGAAAAAGTACCAGTATTTAGGTATTTAAGTGTGTTTAAGTGAAACTGCAAACAAGTGGCAAAAGGATTTGTAGTCTGCCAAAATTGAACTACACTTAAAAAAACACTTCTTGGCCTAAAAGAAAAGTGTCATGTTTGATACAAACCCAACAAAACAACACATTACACAAAGAACACAATTCCTACTGTGAAGCATGGTGGTGGCAACCTCATGTTATGGTTATGGGGATGTTTCTCATCCACTTGAACTGGGGCATGAGACTGGATCACTTGTCAGGATAGAAGGGAAAATGAATGAAGCAAATGAGAGAAAAGTCTGAGGTAAAGGACTGCTGCCCTCTGCAAGAAAGATGAAATAGATGAAAGTTCACATTTCAGTATTGATGTGACCTGAAGCACACAGGTCGCTACACTGTAGAGGCTAAGTAACATAAATGTGAATTTTTGGGCGGCCCAGTCAAAGTCCCAATCTAAAATGATAAAAAATAATGATGCATGACTTAAGAAACTTGTCAGAGCTTGACCGTTTTGGAAAGAGGAATAGTCAAATATTGTTAAATCTAGGTGTGCAAAGTTGGAAGTGGCAAAAGACTGCCAAAAGGCCAAAAGTGCTTCCAACAAACACTAACTTGGGGAAGACACTGATCCAGTTCGGATATTTCAATTTTTTTATATTTGCCCAATAAAAGCTTTTTCAACTTAAAGGAGTGGAGTATGGTATTGTAGATACGAGGGAAAAAATACTTATTTAAATGCATGAGATTCTTAAGGCACTGACACAGCAAAATATGAAAAAGTTTGAGGAGATGTAGGCTTTCTATAGGCACTGGAAATGGTGACTCACCACATCTACCCTTTATGGCAACAATCGTTAGGCATTTTTGTCTGGTAGTCCATTGCACAATAAATAATTTTCATATGTTCCTTACAGCAAAAAATACTTTACTTGTGACATATACAGTACTTTACTTACTGCAAAAATCCTTTACTTGAGAGGCTTATTTGGGAAGTTTCTTCCTTTACAGAAAATTCTAATTATTTTGGTAAAAACACTACACTAACCCCACCTTCAAAACGCAAAGCTTGCTACTACTATAACCTCTGGCCTACTAACTTGCAACTAATGACAATTCACACACACAGTCT